ACGGAAGATGAAGTGGGCGGTATAGGAGCAGCGGCTTTGGGTATGACCCCGTTATCGACTGGAGACGGGGCAGCCGCCAGGAAAGGGGTCCGCTCTGCCAACTCGCCCTCCCACTTTTCCACATCCCTCCATAGTCCCTCTACCCTGACTAAGATCACCTCCAACGATCTCTGCAGCTCCCCCACCTTTTCCTGCTCCCGCACGCGCTCAACTTCATCCTTGATCAGCCCAAGCTTGCGCATGAATTTGGTAGCTTCAGCTTCGACGGCCTTGGCGACTTCTCGTTGTTGTCGAGCGCGTTTGAGCAAGTCGAGGAGAAAGCGGAGATGGGTCTGCTGGTCGATCAAGTTGGAGGCTCTTTCGGCGAGATCGTGTCTCAGCACAGGGAGCTTTCGTCCGCACTCCTTCAGCAGGAAATGCAGTGAAGCAAGTGGCGTCGCTACATCCTGCTTGATCATCCCATCAAGCAACTTGATCTTTTCCTTGATCTCGCTATACTCTTCATGAGAAGTGAGAGACGTCGGGAATGTGGTTGCTCTCAAAGCTATGTGGAGAGTCGACTTCAACTCTAGACCTGTTTGGTGGACGGTGGCGGAAGATGTGAATATGGGCTGGGCAATATTGAGGATCCGAGAATCCTGTTCAGCGCGAGTAGCGCTCCCTCTCGAGCGCTTCAAAAGCTCTGTAAGCCGCTCCAAATCCGCTTCAGCGACGTCCACCTCGTCGCCTGTCACCTCTTCCGGTAGACTCTCCCTCAGGCTCTTTGGGGCCGTCTTGTATACAGAACGGTATTGGTATACAGCCAACGTACCATGTCGAACTGTGTCGGGTACGCTCTCTTGGAAAGGCGTCAGTTGAGACACCCAAGAAGGTACAGAAGTGACCCATATTGCATGCTCCGTCATGAGGCAAGACGTATCATCCATGTCGGGGCGTGGTATATCGTCTTGCCCATTGTCGAGGCACCGCACAAGATGGGCGATGGCTTCTTTTTCTGAGAGTAAGATCTTGTGTTGTTCCAGTACGGCCTCCCTTGCTTTTGCTAAACGGGCATACCAGTCGAGCCCTTCTCTCCCTTTCCGTATTTCTTCAGAGGCACTTTCGTGCGTTCTGACCAACGCACGAACGACATTTTCGTTGTACTCGTCGTTATCTGGATAAGCCTCATGCGAAGGCCGGGGGAACGAAGAAGTGATAGGAGAGGGTAGTCTTTTTGAAGCCATTTCTAAAAGTGCTGAAAGGCGGCGGTGTTCAGAACTCGTTGCCGGGCGGGCGAGGGCGATTTGGAGCTCGTCTATCAGAGTCAGAGCGAGTTGTTCGGCTTGTACCGAGGATGAGTGATGAGTCTCGGATCTATTCTGATCAGCCGTGATACACCAATCCAAGGGAATGACTTACAGCTTCCAGTGTTGCTCCAGTTCACCGCACCATTCGACCTTTTCTCCTAGCTCTTCGACCGATGCGTCCAGTTCATCTTGCAGATCCAGCAGCTCGTCTGGCACTGCTCCTCCTTCCTTCTTTTCATCCGCCTCTACACTGACAGGACCTTGTGTGTCTCCAAGGTCTCTCAGGTGCGAAGCGACGTCTATCATCCGATCCAGTAAAGCGCCGCTTCGAGACATGTGCGTTTTCGCGAGGTTCTTGTGCCGTATCCGGAGATTGACGAGCTGTGAATGGAGTAGAGGAATATGAAGCGACCTGTCAGGCGTACCGATCGGCCGACCAGATGAAAAGTTTATAGAGGCGGTAGAGGAGCGTCGTTTGGTCGCGCCTTCAGCTGTGGTGCCCATGTCGGAGGAGATGCTACTGGAGCTCACATCTCGCACTATAGGCGTTCGTGGAGAGGTGTCTGGGGTTGCTCCCAACGACTTTCTTCCTGCCTTTACTGGCGCAGGCGTGCTCATGTCGACCGGCACCCAACGTGCCTTATCATGCACCATGGCGTCCACCTCCTTTTGCAGACTCTCCGACTCTGTCATGGCTGCCCATCTTGTCTGGTCCCATTGTAGGCGGAGATTGGTGAGGTCGAGAAGGAGGCCGCGACGGCGGAGGAGAGAGAGGATACGGTCGATAAGGACGATGAGGTCGAGGGTGATGGACACGAGGTGGGTAGAGGGCGGTGTAAGAGGAAGGAGCGTAGCGGCTGTTGTATATCAGTACAAGGCCTGTGAGCTATGGAAGAAAGGTTTTCATACCTCTGGTCTTCTCCTTCATCCTCTCCAAGTCACCTCCGTCAAACTCGAATACTTGTTCTTCGATCGTTGCTCGTTCCTTGCGCCATGTCTTGACCTGCTCTTGGTCTGGCAGCTTCCACTGGGAACCATCTTCGCCATCTTTTACAAAGAGGTCGCTATGCCGAGAGCTGCTCAGAGATGGGTGCACGAAGGGATATACCGGGGGTATCTCCTCGAGGGACTGAGGGCGTCAGTGGCAGCCTGGAAGCGGGGGACCTACCTTGAGCTTTGCCTCGAACCATGTCCTCTTCTCCACGAAGGCTGTGAGCTCCTGAGCGTCGTGGGCGGGGAGGTCTGTGAGCTGGGGTGGCTCTGACATGGCGATGCAGAGACAAAAGGTCTTGTTGCCGGCCACGTGATTTCGCGGCTGCCGACGGACCGCGGCAGTCACTCTCTTCTCATCATCCCTCATACCCATGCCCACCCACCATGCTCAGGCTACCAAGTACTAGGCCACTGCGTCCAGGTATGCACCCCGCCTTGACTCGGCGGCCACTACCACCGCCGTCCCGCCTGAGAGCTTTCCATGCCACCGCCCGTCGAGAGGCCATTCCCCTCATACCTGTAGCTGGACTAGCCATCTTCAAAGTGAGTGCGCTCTGGACCTGGTGGCATAATGACTGACAACTATCATAGGGCGCATCCCTCTTGACCGTCGCAACAGTCTTCTCGCGCATCTTGATCTCCTTCTTCCCCGTCGGGACCTTGGCCGCCTTCAAGATGATACGCGCCGACAAATGGATGGACTCTGAGGTCGTGCGGCCGTCTGTCGGTCCACCAGCGGAGGATTTCTACCGCATGTGGTGTGAAGGCGAGCAAGCTGTCAGAGTGCCAGTGGAAGAGACCGACCGTCTCATCGACGTAGAGCCTGGACATCTGGGCGGGTTGACGCTCGCAGACGGTAGGGTCGCGTACCCCGTGCCAATGCCTCCGCGCTCCAGACATCATGGCTTCAAGTCTCGCACTGAACCGCACTACACGCCACAAGCCTTGATGGAACATTCCAAAGGCAATAGAAAGCACGTCGCATGGTGGATACGCCGCGGCTACTTTATCATCCCACCGCTACCTCCTTCTGCCGAGCCCTACTACAAAAGTTTGCCGCAGAAGGATAGAGAGGAGGTAGATTCGCTGAGACGATATTGGATCGGCCTCAAATTCTTCAAAGACTGCTTTGTCGCCGGCCGTATTCTGCTGGCGCTCGTGTTCGGCCTTCCGTTCCTCCTCATCTGCACCGCCTACATTGCCGGTCTCGAGCGTGTACCCCTCACAGGACGCTGGAGACTCATCCTCCTCACCCCTGAAGAAGAAGACGCCATCTCGACCAGTTTGGGCGGTGGCAACTGGTATCGCAGTGTCGTCAACCTCTTGACCACCGCAGAACACCCAGCGCCGCCTATCGTGCCCACCAACGACTGGCGCTGGGCATGGGTACAAAGTATCTTGACGCGTCTCGAGGAAGCTGCCTTGTCCGAATGCCGTTATACCCCGAATACCTCTCTTGCCCCGTCCGGCCCCGATTCCTTGCCGATACCTCCACCGACATATCACCCATTCACCCCTCGTCCCCGCGCTTCTTCCGTCCTACACTCTGTCCTCCCCGGCGGCGACCCCTCAACTGGCAGGGAGCACCTAGAAATAGGTCCTCCCTACAATATAATGCTGATGCAAAAAGACGAAGAAAATGCCTTTTCATACGGTTTCGGGGGCAAGAGAGCCGGAGGGATCGTGGTGTATACGGGATTACTGGATCATATACTCTACTCGCACGATCCTTCTCCCGCTTCCGCCCAGCCCTCTCGGACTGGCCTCTTGGGCGGTCTCTTTGGATCTCGTTCACCACCTCCCACAAAGCCAACGCCGGAACAAGATCTTCATCTCGCGTGTGTTTTGGCGCACGAGATGGGCCACCTCCTTCTTTCCCATCACCTCGAGACTCTTTCTCAGCAGCAGGTCCTCTGGCCTAGTGTCCTTGGATTGTCCATGGACCTGATCAGAGCGTTTATCTGGCCATTCACGTGAGTCAATGAGCTAACTCATCGGGGTTGACGCTAATGTGCAACAGGTTCTTCTTGGGACCCACGGTGAATGATGCATTGGCGAGTGTGGGCAGAACGAGTACGGAAGAACTATCTCAGAAATACGGTGAGATCGGGTTCCAGTGGAAGCACGAGTATGAAGCAGATCTCGCAGGGCTTCGGTACGTCCCCCCCCCCTTCCTCTCCCCTCAACCCTAGCTGACGATCTCACAAAGCCTCCTAGCCCGCGCGGGCTTCAACCCCCACTCCGCCCTCTCCCACTTTTCCTCCTCCGTAGCCTCCCTCCACGAGATTCAGCCCATCGACAAGGCCGACGATGGGCTGACGGGGGCCGTCTTCAAGCTCTGGAGTCGGGCGACGCATCCGTCTGCTGGTGATAGGAGTGAAGCGATTAGGAAGGAGATTGAGAGGTGGGAGCAGGAGAGAACGGGGGGCAAGTAGATGGCGGCGGCGTGGAACATAGAGAGGGAGTTTGTCATAAGTGTGGATTATCGGGTGTTGTTGTACTTGTACATGTGGTTTCATACTGGGTTTTTCTATGCACTTTTCAGCTTGCACATGTTCTTTACAGCGTATACTTGACTCTTCATGTCATATAATCCCCTCGCTATCAACCCGGCCGCCGCGACATTTCCTCCCAGGATGAGCTGGGCATTTGGGCTGAGGCACGGTGGGCCATTAATTTTGTAAACTGAGAACATTAGTCGACAGGGAAGCGCGACCGACCATCCATCCATCCCGGCTCTTGTTCTCTATCCACATTCTCCTCAGACTTCTTTCCGCCCCCTTCCCTCTCCACCCACAGCGAATGTCTACATACACCAGCCGACCCGCGGGTCAGCGCATCCAGGTCATGCCCCCACCCATCCAGGACGAGGAAGGCGCCGTCTTCTGCCCCGTGCGCTCCCCACCATCCCTTCGTCCAACAAACGCTGACATCCATCTAGCAACACAAGAGAAGGTGCAAACAGCTCACTAGCAAGTCCTCTGCAAACCCCGGCAGGTGTGTCCTCATTGCGGCCCAGCTCTGAATTCTGCTGATGTTCCGCATTAGGCATTTCTACAATTGTTCTCTTCCGCGGGACGATCCCGGGCGCTGCAAATTCTTTGCTTGGGCTGATGAACTCCCCCCTCCCTCTCCCCAGAAGGCTCCCCAAGCCAACCTTGCCCCCCAGACACCGTCCCGCTTTGGTTCAACCGGGGGACAAGTGCTCGGGCGAGCGCCAACCTCGGCTGCCGCTGTCGCCCTCAACACACCCCAGTCGTTGAGCAGAACAGACAGGGGCAGAAGTGAATCTGATGATGGTGATGATCTCGATTGGGACGGTGTAGACCTCGACAAGATGGAGAAGGATGCTATCGCGAGCAGTCAGCAGAGTTCGGCGAGGAAGATGAGCAGCCAGGAGAGTATCACTTCGACCCCCACTGTTGGGTTCAACGACAGGTTGAACAATGCCATCTCGGGAGTCAAGCGAAGCAGGGATGATGATGAGGCCGCCACATCTCCCAGGCCCGTAAAGAGACCCATCCCTGAAGTAGGTCTTCTGATAATGACGAGACAGCGCTGACCAGATATGAGCAGAACCCATTCCTGACCGGCTCTTCTCCGGCCCACCCCTCTCTCATGCCGACCATTGCTACTCTCCAGCACGTTAGCGATGACCTGTACCGCCGGGATCGTAAGGAGGCTGCGACTGAACAAATGAAAGAGTCTATGCGGAAAAAGATTAGATCTCTCGAGGAAAAGAATCAGACGTTGGAAGAGAGGAATCGAGTGCTGGAGGCAAGGGTCAGGCAGCTTGAGGCTATGCGATGAGTGGTCCTCTTCGTCATGTTGTATCATTTTGCTCAGTAATCGTGCCACTTTCTATACGAGCAGTTTGCCTAGATATCTGCCTTGTACATATAATACATTTACTAGTTATTCAAGCAATAACCGATGAAATCCAAGGATAGCTATGTTATCAAAAATACATCAATCTATGATGACTTATACTTCTTTATTCCGATGATCCTTGACCATGGTTCTTCCATAACAGCAAGCCGACCCAAAATCCATAAAAAAGAAAACGGAACAAGAACACAAGTCCACACTAAGGCGCCCCGCCAAACAAAGACAAGAGCATTTCAGCTGCCCCAATCACCTCCTCGTCCTTTTCATTCCTCGGTTCCAATTTGACCACCGGCCTCGGTTCCCGTACATCCTCTGGCGTGATCACCTTTGAGCTGCTCGAAGACATTGAGTGAGATCGAGCATAACCCAAGTTGGGCGTCTTCAACTGCGACGGCTGATATGTTCGCCTGCTCTCGTTTCGAGAAGAAGACTGGGGGATGGCAGAGGTGGACTGGGCCCTGGAGAATTCCTTCTTGAACCTCGAGTGACTATGAGGGTCATCGCCCCGCGACCGAGGACGTCTATGGGCCTGACCGGACGCGATGCTCTCCAAAGTGGGTTTCTTCAAAGCAGTGGTAGATGCTGACGGTCTGATAGAAAGGTTTGGGTTGATTTGACCCAGTACGTGGCTTTGCTCTTTAGACGGCTTGGCAAGCTGCTTGGCCCGAGAGCTAGAAGCAAACAGATCGAAAGAGGTGGCCCTTCCAAGACCATTGAGCGTCCTCGCCCTCTTTCTTCTCTCCAACGCCTCCACATCCACACCCCCATCATCTCCATCGCTCTCTTCAGGGTCCATCTCCGTGAGACCCATGCTAGGAGGATCGCTTGGCATGAGCGAAAGAATCTTGTCATTCCTCTCTTGGCCTTCACCCTCGATGGCAGCACCCTTGGAGCCACGACGGTAACGCTTGTCAGCACCCAACCCAAACCCACTTTCACGCGCCTGGAGCACCTCGTCCAGAGATTGTCCAGAAAGTCGCGCGGACAGGAGCTGAGCGGGTCGTTTTGTTCCTCTTTTGGAGGACGCGCTGGATGGGGAGCCAGTCATGGAGCTCTGAGGAGCTGCGGTAGGACCGCCTCCGGTAGCAGAGGGGTATCGGGCCAACCACGTCTCACGCGTCACGTCACCGACACTGATAGCACGAATGACGGATATCTTGTCCTCTGGCGGGGGTTCCAAACCAGAGATACAAGAGGCGGGAACGGGTCGCCATTTGCCGGTGACGGGATCGAAAGTGCCGCGGTTGGCTCTCGACGGGTTGCCATGTTCTTGTTGACCGCCGCGCGTGTAACGCTTCTCCTCCTGCCGGCGATTTTGGAACTGTTGAACAAGTCAGTGACGCGCAGTGATTCGGATGTGAAGAAAGCATACCCAGACAGTGATGTGTTTGGTCTTGACACCCAACCAGGCGCCTAGTCTCTGCCTTTCGTATTTGCTAGGGCTTTTGGCGATACTCCAGAGCACCTCCAAGGCCTCCAGCTCCCTCTTGGTAAACCTCCTCCTGACTTTACATCCGTGCTTGGCCTCGACGCCATACCTGGCGGCACCGCTACGCGCCACGAGGTTATTGTCCAGCAACTCTGGCACGTGGTCCCCTACAAGATAGTCCCAGGGGTTACAAGATGGTGCGCCAGCCTTCTTTCGCGAGCTACCATTGGCTTCGTACGCGTAGCGGTTGTTGAGCTCGTCGCCATCCTCTGGAGGCACGGGATCCTGACGCGTATACCCGTAAGGGTATTCGGTCAGTGGGAACGTCGCAGGCGGCTGGATGCCTGAAAGCTCGCCCATCTCGATGGCCCCTGCCCCAGATATACCATCCATCCGCACGGACGAGTTGTAATGCACGTTGTGGGGCGTGGGGGAGTCGAACGTAGGAGGATGCTGACGCGCGTGAGCAGCGCCACTGCCCTGCGGACGCGACGCGCTTGAGCGAGGGGTATTGTCTGGCGAGTAGCGGGTGATACCCTCAGTCATCTCCGAGTTGTAGGACGCGGCAGAGGGGACCGAGGAGGGAGGCAAAGAGAGGTGGGGGTACTTGAGAGCGGGCGTTGAGAAGGAGCGGCGGAGGATGGACTTGGACGCGTCGGGAGTCTGGTGGGGGAGTGCTGGCGCACGCAGTGTTGTTGCCGGTGTGTGGACTGGAGGGGCCGCTGGCGCAGGGGCAGCAAAGTCGGCCTGGCTGCCGATTTGTTTGGACATGTTGTGCGTTCAGACTGAATGGATGAAGAAAGTGAGAACATGAAGGAAATGTCAATAAAGCCGTCGTAACGCACGCTCGGTCCCGCTGAGTTTTCAGCATCTTCCCTGAATTTCGACCTGCGGGCAAAATTAACAAACATCAACGCGTCATCTCCAGTGGACGCGACGCGAAGACATTATAAGCCTGCGTATATACAGGCGAGGGCCTGGGAAATGCATGTATTGTAAAAGCAGGATGCCTCAGTTATTCCCGTTCCTCAAACCTGTCGCTCTTCTTCCTCATCCTCTCCCTCTGGCACAAAGCTCTCTCCAAGACCGATGACTTCCCATACCGGCTTCCCATCACGTTTGTCAAACATCACCCGGAAAGGCTCCTTGACCGTCAGCTCGTTCTGTCGATGCAAGCCTAAAAGCAGAGTGAGCGGGAAGTCTAGCACGATAACATAAGTACCCACCTTCAATCTGGTCGACACGGTCTCGCGTTGTGTCCAGATCCTTGTCAAAGCCTTCCACAGCAATTACCTGTTGCGCCGCACGCAACAAGAGGGTTGAATCAGGGCGGACATTGTGTTGAAGCTGAACGAAACATGAGCACAACAATCGTTAGCAGCTTTACAGTTGACTCACATCAATCGCGACCACCTGGCGCCTGATGTCAGCATCTTCCAGGCTAGCCATGTGCAACACTCACATGGTAGTGATCAAGGGCCTCCAAAAAGTCTGCCCTCGTCATAATCCTCCTGGCCTCTTCATAGGTAACCTTCGGTAGTACTATGTCCTCGCTCGATATCTCTACAGGAGGAGTGATGTTGACAGAACTGGACGATCGGACGTGTTTGCCGTCGTCGTCGGGGACGGGGCAATACTCAACATCGGCCTTGGATGGTATCGAAGGCAATACCGGTGGGTAAGGGTGAAGGGTAGGACCGGCTTGGGCGAGGTGGCGCAGGATGAGCCAAGAGCAGCTCGCCCACTTTTGCTCGTCCCTGGAAGTCGTTAGTCGCAGCGCCTCCGCAAGGTGGAAGATGCTCACATCACATCATCGTCATGCTCGGGGATCAGACCAATCCTGCCGATGGTCAGCACAGCACCATCGTACTCTCCGACACCATCTTACTTTGACAAGAGCCACTGCTTTTCGCTCTCAATCATGGCCTCGGCCTCGTCTACACTGCATTAGCTCACCCCTCTCCATAACAGCTGACGACTGACCGATCATGTTATCCGCCCTAGCGACCCTGGCAAGGTAGCTTGTCCTTCCGCCTACGAGTTCATATACCCTCCTAAATTCCTGGTCACTTTCCAACTGCACCTCCCCACCTGTGCCTGATGTCGACAACCGGTGGGTGATCTCCTGCCGACGCAGGTGGCGCAGTGCTCGCAGAGACTCTGTAGCGGAAAGGTCATACACGGAGAGAATTCGCATACGGGAGGCGTTCTTCTTCATGACGTCGAGGCACCAATAATCGTCGCTCGAAAAGACCATTGTCAAAATGCCCTACGATATGATCAGTGCATGCAGTGAGAGATTTGCATCGGCTTACGCCTTCGGCCCAAGCTTCAGCTCGCTGTTGAAGCTGATGGATCAAGCTGTGCCCTTCCTCCGTATTCGGGAAGAGGTGAATGTCTACGCCGAGTGAGCCAGACCAAGAAGCCATTGTTGACGGGACCTACTGTTGAACGCCATAACCAAAGGCCTGCCATTCTTCAGCGCATACCTCAGCGCGACCTTCTCGAGCTTGTTCAGAGCCCTCTCAATGTCCAGTGCAGGGCCGCCATTTCGAGGGTCTGCTCGGGAGAAGAGGGACCCTTGCCAATCTTCGTAAAAGTCAAAGTCGAGAGCTTTTCCGAATCGCAGTCGGAATACTTCGAGGTCGGGATGTGATTCACAGAAAGAGACACCATCGGCGTTGATCTTTCGCATAGCACTATGCCCGGGTCAGCTTTGGCTCGGGTCTCGAAGATACCGACATACTCTAGGACCATCGTTCCTTTACCACTGCCTTTGGGACCGATGATCAGATAGTAACCACCCTTCTCTTCACCTCGAACAATTCGATCAATGAGGGGCTGTTCTCTGCGCTTCACATGACTCGAATTCGGGCCGTTCAATTTGGACAGTTCCAGTGCCGGATCCTGCATCGTTGTCAACATATATCGGTATCCTCTCGGACTTGGCAACTGACATAACCTGGTTCGAACGCCCTCATGATCTGTGACAAGCGATGTCAGCACTTACTGAGCGGTAAGCGGGGCATACACACCCTTCTGAGAACATGATCCTTGTACCATTCAAGGTATCCTATACCCGAACCGAACACCATCCCCAGACCAACGATGGTAGTCAAAGCGGCTTGGAAAGAAGCGCTTTTCAGCCAGTCGTCCCACCAGCGCTCCTTCCCCTTTCCGCTTCCGCTAGATCCTCCTTGTGGCTGTAGGTTGTCTGAAGGCCCCACGGGCGATTGAGGGACAGGAGGGTTTGGCCAAGAGGGGACATCGCGGCGGACAGCTGTAGAAGACAGCAGGCGGAACTGGTTGATGTGCCGAGGTTGGGGATGTAGGAGCTGCCGTCTAGCTAGACCAAGTACGGTTGCACGCATGTCGCCCTGTGGATAGGCTGAGATGAGATTCAGAAGCTGAAAGCCGGGTCGGCCTCTCCATTGACCACATCGCAGGGTCATCTGCGCACCGCATCATCACTCCACGTCATGACTTTGTTTGGTTCAGTCAACGACCGTCTATTGGCGGCCTGCGGCGGTATTGGGACGCTCTAAGCTCTACCACCGACAGCTACGGGCTTACAAGCCAATCTGTCTATTCCTGACAATGCACAAATAGCCTGAAGCATCTCCATGCCCCTCCCATGCTGCCCCCTTATGCCGTCGGCGGTGGCCGCCCCTGCGACTGATTTCTTGTGCCTGGGGATGTGACCCTGAGTGCTCTTTTCGCGTCAACAAACGAGACACACCGACATCCAACATCAGCACCATCTCATCCATGACACCCAACTGACATCCCACAGAATTGAATGTCCCTCTCTCCCACCAAACCCACCCTCTCGCGCCAACCATCCTCCCCATCACTCGCTCTCGGCCTGCCCCCGGCATTCCCAGAGAACAACATCATGGCTCCGTCCACATCCCCTTCCAAGATGCCCCGTACCAAGTCCAAGCACAAGATCCACCGGGGAGACGTCGAATCAACAGACAGCAGCGACTTTGAAGAAACGCCGAAGCAATCGGGAAAGGATACACCGAAGAGAAAAGTCGTCAATAGTGTAGAGCCAACGCCGGCGACTGGGCAGTCAAAGAAACGAGGCACCTTGGCAGAAAGGCTGGCAGCAGCTGCTGTCAACAAGCCCAAGGTCAAGTCTAGCTCCAGCGTTAACGGCGGTCTCAAGGCATCTAGCAGTGCTACACAGCTGAGCGCTTCGAGTACTTCGTCGATGGTGCAAACACCACCAATGCAGGCTAGGACCTCCTTGATCCCTAGCACCGTGCCCGTGAAGAGGACTGCCGGTCCATCCATCGGTGGCAACCCCTCTGACAAAGTCGTTGTTTGTGTCAGGTGCGTGGAACGCCAGGATGTTGAATGGGTAGCTAATGTCGAGATAGAATCAAACCAACGCAAAGCCCATTCGCAACAATGGCCTATGACATGACATCAACATCCCTCACACTTTCGGATGACCATCCCAAAGTGAAACAACGAGGTGGAAAAGCTGGACGAGAAGATACATACAATTATACATTTGGTGGGTCTCAACTCGCGAAATACGTCGAGTCGCCGCTCATGTCCTGCAACAGACAAATTGCTGCAACATCCTTCCACCACACCCGAGCTGTACAATGCCAAGATCTCTCCCTTGGTCGACAAGGCTATGAGCGGGTTCAACAGTACCGTATTTGCCTATGGCCAGACTGGAAGTGGTAAATCTTTCACAATGGTGAGTTTTATTCCGTCACTCGGAGCCTACTCGCTGACCAGACTCAGACCGGTATACCGACTGAGCTCGGTATCATCCCCTGTGCAGTGGATGGTGTTTTCGACGCCATCACAGCCGACACCGATCGCGCCTTCCTCCTTCGTGTGTCCTACGTTGAAATCTACAACGAGACCCTTCGCGATCTTCTCAACTTTAAGAAGGGCCCTTTGAAAGACGACGAGAAGCCTGTTATCCATACGCAAAAGGGGAAGGTGTATGTGGAACCTCTGGTGGAGGAGATCGTTTCGACGCCGGAGGATGTCATGGAGTTGTTGGAGAAGGGGAATGCGCAGAGGCGGATTGGAGCGACCGATTGGGTGGGTGTTTGCCAAAGTACTTGACGGACCTGCTGACGCCTTCCATCAAGAATGAGCGATCTTCCCGATCTCACTGTGTGTTCACAATAGTCATCGAGTCGAAGCCAAGAGATAAAGATGGTGATGAGGACATTAGGCTTTCTCGTTTGGTCAGTCCACATGCCCTTTGAACGAGCATCTGCTAAACAAAGCGCAACACAGAACTTGATTGATCTGGCTGGTTCCGAAAAAGCGGTGTCTGACTCTGAGAGGAGAGGTGAAGGAAAGCATATCAACCAGAGGTATATGCGCGATGGATGCTGTGAATGTTGACTGACATGGTGAACAGTCTGCTGGCTCTGCGGGAGGTTATCAACAAGTTGACAGAGAAACAAAAGGCCTCGTGAGTAAACCCCGAAGCTAGATCTCTGGAGGCGATATTTCAGTATTGACAAGCGTCCATAGGCATATCCCGTATCGTAATTCCAAGCTCACTCACCTTCTGGAAAACGCTCTTGGAGGAGACTCTAATATTTGTGTCATCTGCACGTAAGTCGTATGGAAAACAATGAGAATGGCTCATGCTGACCACCTCGAAGCATGTCCGCTGAGGAGGAGCATTGCGGTGAAACGCTTGAAACTTTGAAGTTTGCTGGGCGATGCTCTCAAGTAAAGACACATGCCAAGAAAAACATTGTAAGCCTTTCAACAATATGTGACGGTGTCAGAGGCTTACCCACATTCACAGCTTCCAGCTTCCGAGCAAGCAATGATCAGAGCAAAGGATCAGGAGATTGAAGAGCTCCGAGCGAGGCTGCTCGGGCTGACAGGAGACAGTGCGCCTCCCAAAGCTGGACCTGACGCTGATCAAATCACCGATGTACGTTGGAACATATAGAATCGGGTGCCTCGTACTGACACATTGTAGCTGGCCGACTCGGTAGCCGCTATGGAAGCCCGAAAAGCCAAGCTCACTGCCCAACTCGCCAAACTCAACGGCGAAATCTTGACTTCCGAGCTCCCTCGTCACTCTGCAAGCTCTTTCAATTTTCCCCAGACTCCGGCCAAGCCCAAGCGACGGCGCATTAGCGATTTCTCTGCAATCATGTCCTCTGGGGGCGATCGTATGGGGTTGGGGATGGGAACGCCCAAGAAGGCGGCCGATAGACGGGCTGTCAGTAATTTGGTTGGTGTGAAGGAAGAGAGTGAGACGTCGGCGACGTCGGGAACCCTGGATTCGGTCCACGAAGGATCAATCGTAAGTCCGCTGATAATGACGATGAGACCGTGCTGACAACCAGAAGAATTTTGAGCACGACATCGCCCTTGCTACTCTTCGCAAGAACCTGGCCCATAAAGAAGAAGAACTCGTTCTCGCCAATCGCAACCTTGCATCTGCTCTGTCCCGCGCCTCCCAGCTGTCTGAAAGGGATGAACGTGTGGCAGCTCTTACTGCTGAGCTCTCCACCGCCCTTCGACAACTTTCCGAGCTTCAAAGCACCCTCCAGAGCACCGAGTCCGACCTCCGCGACCAAAACGCACAGCTCGAGTCCGCCCGGGATGACCTTGTTTCCAACGGCGAAGACAAGTCTTCAAAGATCGACGAGCTAGAGAACAAGGTGCTGGAGCTTCGGAAGAGTCGTGAAGAGATGGCTATTGAAGATGAGAGCAGACTGCAAGAGGTGCAGAAAGAGCTGGCAGGTGTTGCCAAGGAGAAAGCAGAGATGCAGGCCAGGGTTGAGCTGCTTGAGAAGGAAGCTGTGGCTAGAAAAGGGGCAGAAGAGGGACAGAAAGCTGCAGAAGAGGAAGTGCAGAGGATCCAATCCGAGCTCGACAGTCTTCGCGAAAGCCACTCTCAAGCTCAGTCTTCAGCGGCCTCCTTGTCCTCGAAAGCGATCGAACACGAAACAACCATCTCCACTTTGACTTCCCAGATCACCGACCTCCTCGCTGCCCAAGCCAGCCGCGAAACCGCCCTGAATGCCCTCAAATCAGAGCATGTCGAAATCACGAAAAAGCGAGACCAAGCCGTTGAGGACTTGGACAGCTTCCAGAGACAGGCCATGGCGAATGAGACCAAGGTGCTCAGCGAGCTGAGGGAAGAGATTGGAAAGCTGCGAAAGCTGCGGGAGGACGACAAGGTTGAGTGGGAGAAGCAGAAAGCAGAGCTGGTGGCCGGATTTGCAGAGCTGAAGGAGCGTGAAGACAAGTCCAAGGCTCAACTTGCAGAAGCTCTCCAGACTCTCGAGTCCGCTGCTGCCGCGAACAAGAAGCTCGAGAGTAAGGTCGCCAAGGTAGTCGAAGCAAAGAGTGCAGCCGAGAAGGAGAGGGATCATGCTGTGGATAACCTCAAAGAAGCTTCAGGCGGGGCCAAGATCCAGCTTGAGCAAGAGATCGAGTCTCGTCGATCACTCGAAGCGCAGCTCTCTAGCCTTCAGCAGCAGCTCGACGCCCAGCGTGCTACCATCGAAAAAGTGTCTCAAGATTTACAGTCTGAGTGCGAATCTGCTAAAGAGTTATCCGAGAAGCTCGCGACCGCCCACGCCGACATGGAAACTCAGGAAGCGAGGATCGAGAAGGCTGTCGATGAGCGGAAAGACATCGAAGCCCGCTTAGGTGAAATGGAATCTGCTCTGGAAGCCGGGGAGGAGGAATGGAAAGCGCGAATCGACAAGGAAAGCGCCAAGAGGTCTGAGGTTGAGGAAAAGCTTGTCGAGCTCGAGAAGATGCGACAGGCTGGTACCGCTACCGAGAAGGAACTTCAGGACCGCCTCGACTCTGAAATAGCTGCCAGAGAGAGGCTAGTCCAGGAAATCGATGACCTCAAGAAAATGAACGACTCTGCCCAGGCCAGCCTGCGCGAACAACTATCTGCTGGGGAGACCAATCGCCTAGAGCTCGAGAAGAAGCTCGCCGAGCAAGAAAGAGTAGAGGGCACAGCGCTTGCAGACCTTTCGAAAAAGCTTGAATCCCATGCTACTTCCGAGAAGGAGCTCATCGAAAAGCTTTCGTCTCTACAAGCGCAGCTTTCTGCCGACCAGACCGTCACTGACGATCTTCGCAAGAAGCTTGAAATTGAGGTCACGGCCAAGAGAGTTGCGGAGAAGAAGGTGGTCGAATTGGGACGTCAGAAAGAGACTTCCTCCGCCGCAGAAACCGACTTGCAAAAACAGCTGGAACATGCTGAGAGAAGGCGCAAAGAGGCCGAAACAAAGGCGGCCGGGGTGGAGAAGGAGCGCGAGGTTGAACTCGCTGGGCTTCGGGCCCAGCTCGACGCTGAGAAAGCCTCCAGAGCCGACGTCGAAAGGAAATTGTCCGAGGCGGCCGAGCAACATGTCCTCAAGCTTTCCGCTGATGGCGAGATCCGTTCGTTGCTGGACAAGGAGACTTCCGCTCGCAAGGATGCCGACAGCAAGCTCGCCGACCTGGCCAAGAAGCTTGAATCCTCCTCATCAGCCGAGAAGGAGATCCAGCACAAGCTAGATGTCGAGTCTGCATCCCGTCAAGCTGCTGAGAAGCAGTTGGTGGAACTTGCGTCAAAGCTCGAGTCTGTCTCATCGAACGAGGCGGAGCTGGCAGCACGTCTTGACAAAGAGACGGCTTCCAAGCAAGCTGCTGAAAAGAGACTCGCGGATGTTCAAAAGGGTGTCGAGACCAAGCAAGCAAGCGTTCTGGCTGATATGAAGAAGGAGATTGCCTCTCTACAGCAGTCTCTTCTCAAAGCTCAATCGGACGCCCAGTCTTCGAGAGACGAGGCCTCTGCTCACCGCGAAAAGGCCACCAAGCTCGCCAAGAACGTTGTGGAGCTCGAAGCTCGTCAGAAGGATGAGATCAGCATGACCGCTTCTTCTTCTGTTTCTGCTCGTCTCCGCACCCTCTCTACCCCAGGTCCCTGGGCGAAGGACGGCGATATGAGTGGGCCAGGGTCGAAGGGAATGAAGTCTAGAGGCCTGAAGGGAACGACCACCGGCATGGGAATCGGTGAGCGGGAAAGCTCCATGGGAATCATGCGAGCCAGGGATCAGGACGAGATCGAGAGGCTGGAGAAGATTATTGAGGTGCAGAAGGAGATCATAGATGAGCAGAGGGAGAAGATTGAGCGGTGGTCCAAAGTGAGTCATCAATCATCGTTGCCTCCGGACATATGCTGACCTATCGTGAAGGAGATGGAAAAGCAGAGAGAGATTGTTAGACTGCTTACCAATGACCATTCTAACACCACCTATTCTCCTTCTCCGCGAGTACCCTCGAGGACCCACGCTAAAGCGCATTCCATCTCCCACTCTCCAAACGAGTCTCCTGCCGGCAGTACACCCGCCAAAGCCATTCCTTCCACCTTTACGGCTCGCAACCTTGCCTTGCCTAGCACTCCTTTGCCAGGGACACCTACGCCTCTCCCCATGCACCCCAGTCAATTCAACAACGCGACTGCGAGGAAGGGAAGGAGAGTGACTATTGACCACGATATGGATCTCCTGACTGGTGAGTCTTCGTTGGCCCGAGTTATGGGCAGTCCACTGACCCTTCTTGTAGAAACCAGCAAAGTCAACAAGGCCAAGCTGCTTTTCGAATCTCCAGAAAAGAACGGCAAGGCATTGCCCTCTACTCCGGTTCGAGAGCCCCGGGAATCACTTCGCGTCAATCAAGCGGCGTGGTCCATTCCCAGACAACGCCGCCCATAGACGTGCGAGCTATTCTTTCATTTTCTTTAGTGGGACCTGTTCCAATCTCTTGTCTATAATGTTGAGGCTTTGTGTTCAAGCATATATGTTTATAGTCCGTGACTGATAACTTGTATATATAATGATTTCCTACCATAGACCTTCGCCCCATGTACAACTCTCAAGAGTGCTTCGTAGTTGGGGAAATCTGACTGAGACTCACGATCTGCAATCTTCGTGGTGTGCGACCTGCTCATCGTGCTGTCTTTTAAGAGTAACGCAGATATAACGCTCACAGTGAAAGATTCTGTCGATGAAATGTAGACTCCGCAACGCGGGAGTTGTGACCTGACATCCACGAGGAACTCGCCGAGCGCATATAGTCTGTACTCGTACTACTGTACAACATGAGAAAGGGTCTTTGACCTGTTCCGGCTTTGACCAAAGAGAAAAATATCACAGGATCATGCTGCACGTTGCGATGTGGGATCTGCTACTAGTATTGGGGTCGCAGGCAGACATACGTTGATCCCTCGCGAGGACCTACAACGTGGGACGTGGCTGGTTGATACAGCCATGCAGGAAAGGGCACGACATGATTGTTCAGCAGTATACCCACGGTCATATCACGACCCTGCCAGGGGGACAGGAGCAAGCTGATGGCTGTCCCAGCAGTGTCCTGCGCGGAAAGGCGCTGCTTTGTCAGAAGACATGAGCGCAACGCGACGCGTCGTGCAGTGATCTCAGGCACGCAGCCCCGTAGAATCTGCCTTTTGCTGATTGTTCTGCACTTGCATATTGATGTATGCTGGGGATGTGGTTGTAAAGGGATGTGGGGGTGCTGGGGGTGTACGGATGCATGGGGAGAGGGGGGGAGGCTGACGGTGGGAGATCTGAGTATCGGATGGCCGGCGTGCCTAGATTCGCTTTCGGTGTTGGCGAATCCTTTCTCAGCGGGTCCCCTTTGCTGGCTATGCATCCCCTTCCCCCTGTCCCCTCCTCTACTTATACCCCGATGTCCTGCTATCCCTCCCATCCTTCCCATCGACGTCGCCCTCACGACCCTATCCCTCCCGAGATTGCGTGGACTGGCGGGTAACTTGCGGTCTGTGCGCTCCATCCATCCGCCCTTCCCTTGTGCTGTGTCGCAGATCACGGACCACAACCGGTGCTTTGTTGAAATCACCTTCCTCTTCCAGCTTGTTCTTGCACCATCTCCTCTTGCCAGCCCCCATCTCCCCCCCTCTCCGCCCCCCTCGCCCACTCCCCGCCACCCCTCCTGCACCGCCCCGCTCCCTCAAGCAGCCACTATGGCCGATGCTACAAAGTACGGGAACGCTGCCGACTTTGAAGTCGAGCTCCATTCCATCTACGCCGCTTATATGTGAGTCCCCCTCTCTCCAGCAACCCTGCTAACATCGTCTTCTAGCGGCCTGTTTGAATCAAATAATGTGGATTGGTGGGACAAGTCATGGGGCGGCTACTTTGTCTCTTTCAACGACTTTCTCGGTTTTGGATGGGAAGTGATGGGTATGTTCTCACTTCTGCTCCGTGTTCAATCTAATGCCGCGCAGTGATTGTCGATGGGGTCACTGGTAAGCCCCATATTGCTGTCAGGCGAGAGCAGATAGCCCTGTTCGCTCGCATGATCAGAACAAGGCAAGTCCACTCGCAAATCTGTTTCATAAGACTCGGTCACTGACTATCCCCCAGATTTGGCGAAAATCTCCCCAAAGACCCTCCCACAACACTCCCCCTTATGCCGGTGCCGACCCGGAACCTCGCTCTTCGCCGTCTCGTCAATATCCGGGATCTCAGTGCATACCGGAAACTTGCAGCCACCCTCCCAGCAGCCGAGCTTTCCTACCTTCGGTCAAGAGTACGCTCGGGCGAACCTGCCGTGATCGAGCAGCTGTTCTACGCTGGTGGATCGAGCGGGGAGCGGGACACGGGGGGCGTCGGCGTCAGAGACAACGGTGTCGGGTACACCTTTGCATGCGTCAAGACCAACTGGTGGGAGAAGGGAGGTGCGCCATATGGCGTCGTCCCGGGGCAGGGCAAGACGCAGCCTGGAAAGGGGCCACAAGGGAAGGGGCTTGTTCTCGAAGTCGGGATGGCCGTTCTGAGATGCGCCAACCTGCGGGCAGTCGTGAGTCCCTTTGGTCTAATTGATTGGCTTGATTGGGTTGGATAAAAGAGACAGACGACTAACTCTATCAAGGGCGTATGGCCCCCAACGCCAGAGGACAACTATCGCAAGTCTCATTATGTGGTAGAAGAATGGGTGGACAAGGCAAGTTGCGCGAGCCCTGCACAGAGATGGTGCTGACTTGGCGTAGCGTACCAACCACAGTCCCCCCACTTTCCCTCGGGCGTATGCGTTCGGTCGGAGCGAGTATGTGGCCGAGAAGAAGATTGAGACGATCCTAGAGTGAGCACTCGGAAGTCATCATGATTGATCCAGCTGACATGTTGCAGTGCGACTCTGAATGCCCTCGCCTCGCAAGAGACGGACGGTCATGCCAACACTCTCGTACTTGTGACCATCGGCGACGCGACCCCTCTTCCTCTGCCCAACTCTTCCACCCTCCCACCCAACATTCTCGTTTTTGATCTTCTCGCTCTCGAATTCAACCTCTTGCGCAGAGCGCAAGCCCAGGGTATCCCGGGAGCCCCCGACCGCCAACAGCCACTATCCTCCCTCGTATCCCTCCTGCAGACTTTGCAAATACCAGTCACACCCTACGCTCCGCTCGGTAATGCCGGCAACGATGCCTATTATACCCTGCTCGCTTTCCAAAAGCTCGTCATGGGCGAGACACGCCTCCCCGACATGCTCTTCAAGCAGCCCGACCCATACTCTGCTATGCCCTTCCCTGCTGGTGCGGGCAACAGGATGTCTATGGCCATGCCTTTTGCGCCGGTGATGAACATGCCCCTGCCCGTGATGCCTGCTGCAGGCCATGTTCGCCGCGAGTCAAACTCTTCCAGAGCCTCCCAGAGGACGCCAGCGTCAGAGTATGGCTCTTACCCACCATCTCCAGCGGATGAGCAGAGACGACGACGTATGATTAGTGATGTTGCAAAGCGCCGTCCGTCTTCTACTGGTGATGCCCTGGGCGCATACAGCTCTAACAATAGGTCCCAGAGCCAACAGAGGTCTCTTGGAGGCTCTTCCCAAAACCTGGCCGCCGGGCGCAAGCGGCAGTCTATGGTGCGATCTCAGACCGTTTTCTGGGACGACGCCCAGTACGCTCCTCCTTCCGCCGACAACCAAGGATCAAGTCTCAAAGCTCCTCAGGCTCCGCTTCATGGCGAATCCACAGGCGCCTCCTCCAACTCTTCCGAGAACAGGGGTCGGCCAAAGGACGGCCCGCCTGTCTCGAGAAGTGCAGGTAGCGGCGTGAGACTAGCCGCTGGTAGGAGTGTGTCGTACGATGGCACTGGTGGGGACACGAACGCATCAGGCAGAGGAGGGAGTGCTGGTAACTCTCCTGTGAATGGTACCATGCGCCCACCTTTCTCTGTGGCTGGAAACGGTAGCGCGGCGAGTGTCAGGCCTTCTGGTCTCTCGAGCAGCAATTTGAAAAGGCATGCTGCGGGCCGAACGGACTCGTCTGGGACGGTCAGTACGGGTATCACCAAGCCGAGCTCAAACTCCAATTCGAGCGGGGATATGGTGATGATGCCCACCAAGGTCAGGCATAGTACCGGTGCGGGACAGGTGATGACCGATGAAAAGGCCAATGCCAAGGCCGATGTCAAGGCTGGCAAGGAGAAGAAGGCGAAGAAGCCAAAGAACATTGCGGGGGCGTTTGCCAAGTTTTGGGTTGGATGACGTACAGAACCCCATACCCACCATTTGTTTTACTCTAACGGACAACATATCATGATCAGTATTGTGTGCATCTTTCTTCACGTATTGAGACCTTTGTACGATCCGAGACTCTTTCATTTCCATGCATTTTTATACCATACTATTCCTCAACCTAGTTTATGCAATGTTTGAATCAGTCTGGTCCGGGTAAGACCTTTTAGGGAAGTTCAGCTCCAAAGAAGCCTTCATGTAGTGTGAAGAGTCCATGACATGCGTGTTTGATAGCGAATATTTGAGAAGCCTACTGGTACAAGGGTATATGCTATGCGAAATTGATCGCTATCCTGAGTGTACCACCATTCAATGCTTGAGAGCCCACCAATATCCCCAAGCCGAGAGCACCCCCTGTCCACCTAGCGGTCCCCCAACACCCGAAGACTGACCCCTGACCTCGAGCGACATTTGCCTCCACAGACGATCAAACCCCTCTTCATCAATCACGCCAGATTCGAGCAGGACGAGGCGGCAGGCAAAAGCGTATGCGATAAAGTTTTCCGCATCTTCTTGACCAAACTCTAGGAGAAGGTCAGGCCAGGCTTTGATGCCATGGAGAAGTGGGACGTACGGCTGTCTGGTTGGTTGTTGCACCCTTGGCGGTAGTGGTAATACGTGTCGGTATCTTCTGGGCTGAATCCGGCAGAGGAGAGGACGTCGGCCATGCTTTCAAAGAGATCCAGTCTGTGCGACATCAATACGCTTTCCTGGTGTAGTAGCATGTCACGCACCTGACGCCTCGGTACCGGAACGCTTCTCGAATAAGGACCGTCATCTATGCTAGCGCATCAGTGATTCCCTTTTCCCTGCTCAGAGGTGAGCTGAAACATACCCGAGTCATGGCAGGCATAAGATCCTCCGGCCTGAATCCCTCCCAGGCGCTCACGAAAGTGACATGCACTTCGTGTATAAGAATCAGACCGCCAGGTCTCAGGATACGATGCACTTCCTTTACGATATCTTCGTACTGGCTTGTGGCAGTCAACATGAGCCGCAGATGAACGACGTCAAAAGAACTGTCGGCGAATGTTCGGAGGTCTGATGGAGCGTTGGCACAGAGAAAGGTGAGGTTGGGAAGATCATGTCTGACATAGACTATCAGCTCTGCAGGCTTCATAATCTCTTGTGCGTACTCGTGGTGTATGGGCATGATGTCGATTCCGACGCACTCCACTTGAGGGAAGGCTTCTGCCATCTCATACGTCCTGCCATATGCTCAGTATACAGCGCCTCTGAGCATGAATGGACTCGGAGGTCTCACCATACACCAGTGCCGCATCCTATATCTAGTATCCGCCTCCGCATTCCAGGCCTCTTCAGCACAACGTCCACTGGACCTCGATACAATCCTGGAAGGCTCCGTATAAGCTGAGACCGGGAGTCAGTATGGTAGGTAGATTAGCAGACTTTTACGCACAACAAAGTGCTGCCTATCCATCCTCTGCTCCATATCAGTCATGCCGAGGGACCTCGGGAGCACAGACTTACCACGACCTCATGAGAATCTGATGGAAAGCGGTATGTCCAAGTTCTGTTATTACTGCAGGTGACCTCGCATGAGAGAACGCGCTTGGTATAAGGAGCTGAGCCACCTACTAGAGTCTGTTGCCTTGGACAAAGTATCCACCTCCAGCCGAGTGGCCTGAAGTCCAGCCAAGTTGCGACTCGAGCTCGCCAACGGCCTCATCTTCGTGCTCGGCCATACCGGGTCACTTGTAAAGGCAAGAGCTGGGTATTGAGAGTGGATTGAGATGTGGAATGAGATGATGCTTCGGGCATGGGTTACCCAAGTCCGAGGCTGGTGATGCAGGTGATGAGGCTCTGCTGCATGGGCTGATTGACCGACGACTCACGGTGCACCTGGGCTGGAGGTACAGATGAATGGCCCGATCAGTCAAAGGGGGATACTCACACCCCGAGCCAGATCTCGCCGACAGCTCCACCAGAGGGCCACAGCAGAGAGCAGGGAGCACATCACATCCTCGTCGCTCTGCGTTGCCATGCCACCACACTAGCAGGTAGCAGACCCATCTGATGCATAGACATACTGAGACGCAGGGTCTGCTATGATTTACGAGATTTAATACAGCTGTGACCCTTGAGCATCAGCTATTTTTTTGAGGTTTCGATGTATCACGCATGGTGTGTGTGTGTCAGGTACACTTGCGTTCTGCCGCCCCGGGAATAGGTTACAGCCGCCGAGGGATGGATGGGTGGGTGGAATGGAGAGCGTCAACTCGTCCATGCACCCCTCGTATCGATGCAAGAGTGCATGACGGGAAGAACAGAGGACAAGAGGACAAAAGCAGGCACGCATCGGCGACGCCGAGCTGACTAAGCAGCGTCATCTCTTGCAGCATCTCTCCAACAAGTCTCCATCTCCATCTCCATCTCCATCTCTCTGCGCACCACACCATCCAGCATGCCGGTCACCACCCGCACATCCAGAAGCGTAGTCGCACACGCCACAGAGGCCACAAGCAAGGCAAACAGCCGTGGAGCGAAGCCCTCTCCACCCAACGCCCCGCCTGCCAAAAGGCAAAAGAAGGAAATAGCTCCGCAGCCCAAGGTCGGCTCCGTCCCAGCCCCCGTCAAAGTGGTCGGGTCGTATACCCCCGCGCTTCTGCCACCGGTTCTCAACTTTGATCTCCAAACAGCCATGTCCCACCTCTCGAGAGCCGACCCTCGTTTCACCCAATTGTTCCAGCACCTCCCTTGCCGACCGTTTGTCAATCTCGAGGCTGTCGATCCATACAGGACGCTCGTGACGTCCATTATTGGACAACAAGTGTCGTGGATGGCTGCTCGGGCTATTAATGCGAGGTTCAAAGCCCTGTTCGGCTTTACAGAGGAGAATCAGGGGTTTCCCACTCCCGAGATGGTCATTGCGCAAGACATACCTACTTTGAGATCGGTAGGGTTGAGCCAGAGAAAAGCAGAATACGGCAAGCTACATATCTGACATTCTGCAACTTGTGCTCACACAAGGTCACAGTCCAATCTTTGGCCGACCACTTCCAGACAGGCCGCCTATCTACCGACCTGCTCCAAAATGGCACCGACGAAGAGATCTCGAAAGCCCTGATCGACGTCCGAGGTATCGGTCAGTGGACCGTCGACATGTTCATGATCTTTTCCCTCCGACGACCCGACGTCCTCGCCGTCGGCGATCTCGGTGTGCAGAAAGGTCTTCTCAAATGGGCCCTAGCAGCCCACGGAGCTCTCGAAAAAAAGCCCGTCACTGGCGCGACCCCAAAGAAGAAGGGCAAGGGCAAAGCCGCCGTCAAGAAAGAAGACGTCGTGGATCAAGTCGATGTCAAAGGTGAAGGCGAGGTCGACACGTTTGTCCGAGACGCCACGCCCATCCGGCATCCACCTTCCAGCTCTGCCCCTCCTACCCCAATCACCCCAGGCCCTTCAGAGCATACCCACAGAGCGGCTTTGCACACCCCCGCCACGCCTTTAGACTTTAAACCATCCCAAATACCGCCCACACCTGCGACGCCTACAGCGGCGCCAGAGGAAGTCGCAGAAGTCCCGCCCAATACGCTGCCTACTCCGACGACAGAGGAGATGCTCCAGGCGCCCATTGGGCACCCAGAGTGGGATGCTCATCGCGCTGTCCCATTGCCAGATGGGCTCGGCGTAGATGTACTCAAATCTCGTCTCAACGGGAAAAAGGTCAAGTGAGTAGTTGCCTTCTTTCCACCATTTACGAGCTGATCGTGTTGGCAGGGGCGGACAATACCTGACGCCTCAAGAGATGGAGGCGTTAACAGAGTCTTGGAAACCCTACAGGTCTCTCCCAGTCTTCTACATGTGGCCAGTAGCGGGAGAGTCATAGTGTGTCTTAGGAAAGCAGTTGTAAGGAGTCTAACGTTCAAGATGCATTCCAAGTCATATAAGAGAAAAAACCATATCATTCCCCAGTATCCATCGCATACAGAATTTATCATTCATTTTCTACCGTTCACCTTCCAAACCTTCATCATCACTCAATATCTTACCTCTAATCATCCTCTGGCGGCCTTTGAGCACGCTTCAGAAGACTACCAAAATCTCAGCAATGTCCTTGAAACGCAAAAAGCAATACTCACGCAGCACCCAAATCTAATTGACCCGAAGCCTTACCCGGCTGATTGATCTTGCCCGGCTTGGAAGCAGCTTGCGGCTGGAACTTTGGCGCCGTGGGAATAGGCGGCTTTCCACCAGCAGCAGGCGCCCCGAGAGCAGGCTTGGCGCCAAACTGGGGTTTAGCGGGTATAGACGGCTTGGCGGGAATGGCCGGTTTGGCCTTGATGGCTGGAGGGACCTTGGCTGCTGATGAGGCTGGGCGGGAAGAGGCAGGAGAAGAGTCGTTGGAGACGGCGGCGTTCTTGGCTTTCCATGAGGGGACCGCAGAGCCTTTGCCGGCACCAGCTGCAGGCGGGATAGATGGGGCAGGCCTGTTGGCAGGAGGAGGAGGTGGGGGCGCGGGAGCAGCTTGTGGAATCAGTTTCAAGCTGTGCTTTGGTTAGCTCTAATACCAAGATATACCTCTCGACCTACTAATTCGAAGGAGCCCAGCCCTCCTGCCCATCCTTTGCAATCATCCACCATCCGTTATCATCCTTCTCCTTGACCTCGACCTCTTCTCCCTTCACCAAGTTCATCTCACCAGCCTGCCCGGCAAAGTTGTACAAGGCTTTATACATCTCCTTGGGTGGGCCAGAGACAGGAGGTGGCGGAGGCGGGGGAGGGGCGCCTCGCCCAGGAATGGCTGGAGGAGCACGGGCAGCACCACCGAAGGCCGCAGGGGCTTTGGGGGCGGCCTTGGCAACAGGGGCGGCAGATGGCATACTGGCCATAGCAGCAGGTGCCGAGGGCTTGGTAGCACCGGGAAGCGTCACCGCCGCAGGGCGGTTACCACCAACAACTCGGCTCTGTATGTTGTAAGCGCGCAAACTCGGCACGACACAGGGCTTGCACTTACAGGCTTGTTGAGAGTCCTCGAGGCTTTGGGAGCCTTGGGTTTCCGAGGAGGCATGGGGTTTGAGCGGCTTGTTGCGGGCTCACCAGAACCGACCTGGATGGTGTGACTCTTGTAGGTAGCATCTCCAGTAACAGCCTCGTTCTTTTGAGTCTTGATGACGGCTCGCTTCTCCTTCTTTTTGGCATAGTCGATACTAGACCGACGTTAGCGTTGACTTTGCAAAGAAATTCGCGACTCACGTCGGGCCAATGTTGACGTTCATGTTGCCTCCAGTCAAGGTCAAGATGGTGCACATCATCTCAGTCTTGAGGGGACAGGTAAAGATAGGGTCACCCTCTTCGCAAGCGTTGACATTGAGAGCGACAAAGTCGTCTCGCAGGTTGGTCAAGGAGATTGCCCGGATGGTGACAAGAGGAATCTTTCGCTCAAGAGAGGTGACGACTCGGCCGTCCTTGTTTTGCGAAACAACAAAGTACACCGCCTTGTCCGTCTTGCAAAGAGTCAGTTCGAGAAAGCAAGAAAGACAGGCCTACTTACGACGATGAGGAACCGGGGGCTCAGTTTACTCGATCGACCAAGCTTGGAGATAAGTAGCTCTGATCGAGCACTGAAGTGGACCTGCTCAGCAGCTGCAAATTCATCAGCATGTGTACGATCAGTCGTGGACTCTGACTCACGCGATATATTCGCCGCATTCCTCAGCATCTCACCCTGAGCGCTTCCTCCCCCGACATCAAGGTAATCACCCATAAATTTCCTCATGCCCAGCATACTAAACCTCCTCCTCTCTTTTCTACCAGCATACACTTCATGTCCATACTCTCTCTTCCTCTCATACTCCAAAGCCTCCCTCTGATTCCTCCAGAACCTCTGAATCTTGATCGCAGCCTCCAACTTGCGACGAACATAGGCTCTCCAAGCACGCTGAATACGCGATGCCATGGTATGCCAGTATCGATCACGCTCGCCTTCGAGATAGAAGAGTGTCTCGGGGTTCTTGATGAATGCCTTGGTGACACCCATCTGCCACTCTTCCTTCTTGATCTTGGCGTCCTTCAAGATCTGCTCACAACCAGATCGGTCGTCGCCAGTCCAGATGTAGTCACCAGCGTAGGACGTGGCGCCAGACAAGAGGTAGAAGCGTTGAATCATTTTGGAGAACTCGGCTCGGTAGGCGAAACCGGCTCGACGGACACGAATGTTTTCTTGCAGACCAAGATACTTGATCTGATGCAGAATGGCCTTGTCGTCATATTCAGAGGGAGATCGGTGCTGGTTAGGTTTGATGGTTCGGATATAGTGAGGTTGACACCTGTAAGTTTGTCAGCAGAGTCACTCGACACGCGGTCAACTCACTTCATCAAATTGTCGACGAGCAAGTTGGCAGACAGCTTGATCTTGTCACCAGCCGTAGGCGGCCTCTTCTTGGAGGTGTGGTCCACCTTGTCCGGGAACAAGGTATGCAAGAACTGGTCCTTACTGCCCTCGATCAAATCAAGCGTATCCTTCAGGAGTTGATCCTTGTTCTTGTCCGTCATACCGGCGACAGAGTACAAGACATCACCGGCATAGTGCTTGATGAGGAACTTGTTGCCTCGAGCCTCAAAGTTGGGGTTGGCTGAAAGCATGTTGGAGCGCTGGATGAAAGAGTTGTCGGCAGCTGAGGGGTCGGCGTGGGCGGTAGCTGTGGCATCGTTCAAGGTGGCAAAGATACCGGCGGGTCGTTTATCCTCGAT